ATGGTAGATTGTCCATAACATGATGGAGCTCTATATAAAGTAACAATAGTAATAGTCTTACCATGAGATTTTAAGACAGTTTCACAAGATTCAAATGAAGTGTAGTCTGGGATACGTTTACATGTTGTTAATGGTATTCTTGAAAGGAAGCCTACACCACCGCCTCGTCTACCTTCACGGGGGAAACTCTTGAAAGTGTAACCTACAGGCTCACATTCAGCGACGGTTGCTGTATCATCAGGATGCAACCATGTTTCAGTGACTGCAACTAAATCTAAGGATTGATCTGACACATATTCACAAAATTAAAGAGTCTTGTTTCGGATGGATTGCATATTTAGGACACCAAGTTTTAAGTTGTTGGTAGTGGCCAGTCGGCCCAAAGTATGTTTTTAAGGCGATATTAGTAATTGCCGATGTATACGGCGAGATACTCCCGCCTTGCATCCTCGTTTTGTTTTTCTCTTTCTACAGATTCCCAGTTCTTTGGTTAAAGACCACAGATTAGTTGAAATGTTTACATTTAAACGTATATACCTTTTAGCTAAGGCAAACAACTTTGTTCTAGCATAGCAAAGCATCAGCTCATCTAATTATTATGCAAAGCAGATTAACTGTAAAGAAAACAATAGATCTTTACTCAACCATGAATTATAAGCTAGGCCAGTCAAGCCTCAGTGAAACTAACTTCAGGCAACCACCAACACAGTGGAGGTGTCTTAAAATTAACACACAGATGCGGCTAGCAAAAAAGTGAAAAAATCAATAGCAAAAATGCAAAAAGAAGAGGCATTAAGCTAACTTAGAGACTTGAAAACTACTAACAAAATTGAGTAAATACAATCTCAGTTCTTAACTACTAACAATTGTGTTTAGAAAATGTAAATATTATAGTAAAAAACAATTAGCTCAATCACCAGTATGCTGCCAGTACTAGCGCTCCTGCCATGTACATCTCGATAAGTCCTACCTATAATTAAAGTGTCGTTTGGAATGAATTTGATTGTTCATGAGATTTAATATCACTTGTTTTCAGTATTATTATTAATGATGACTATTTGATAATTGGTGATGATTAATAATGATGATCATATGATGACTTCCATGTTTGTTATACTACAGAATTTAATATATAGTTACCAATTACGTTTAATTATATTTATATGTTTACAGTGTCTCCACAAGGTGATACACAGAGCAATCCATTTTACTGTATTGTTATTAATATTATTATCATCATAATTTTATGTAATTGTTTGTCTCTTTTGTTGACATATGTTCGTGAGGAATTCTCATGATTTTTTGGCTATTGCATTCTTTGGTAGTCAAATTGCCTGAGTTCTGTGTCTTATGTCTGAGATTAAAAATAAATATATGAACTTGTGCTGAAATTGTTTAGTGATCTACCTTTCGATATTGAATGACTGTACACTTGGTCTATTCCTAGTGGTAAGGAGTAGGATTGTAGTCAGAAAGGTGAAAGGTTTATCAAAAATTCTGCTAACCGGCTCTTTGGTAACCAAGCAGGTCCTTTTCACCATACATTGTAGTGGTTGAGGTCATTAGCAGTTAGTAAATCAGCTAGGTTGACAATAGTTTTGGCCATAACAATGGATATTTATTCGCTCCTTAGTCTTAGCCTTAATGCTAGCATCTAAAAAAAATATATGTAATTGACAATTACTGTTCAAAAAATGGTCAGTAAAATATCTGCTATTGATATTTGTATCTTTGTATTACATCATTAAGTTGTAGGTCATTGGTTGCCCATGATCGTAGTGCAAACCCACTTGGCGTCAGTGTAATATTTTATAGCTTTGTTAACGTTGATATCAGGTGTATCGTTGAAGCCGCTAATTATTATCAAAGTATATGTTCATCCTCTTAAATCATTTGCAGTGGTTGGGTATTTAACCAAACAAAACTGATTTGAATAGATAAATTTGTTTACTGGCTTACTTTGGGTCTGAAAGTTAAGGAAATTTAATCTATTTCTATGTCACTAGTGAATGTGCAATGTTGTTGACTCTGAAACGAACGAATATATTTCGACTAAGTGACCTATTTCTGGACAATCATATAATATGTGGATTGGAGTTGTGAGGAATGGTGAGGATGATAAAATGTCCTTCAGTTATATCATCCTGCCTTACTTCTTCAATGAAGTTATGTGAAATTTGATCATCAATATTATTATTGTTAAGTTTCAGAAAGATCCGCACCTATGAGCAAGGTAATTCAACAAAAGGACGCACATCTCGGGACATCAAAGGTTATAACTCTGGCATCGACATTCTAGGCGCACTTGCGTCCCTACACGCTGAACGTCACAAAAACCATAGCAACCAGACCATAAACCGTCAGCGTACGTGACGATTTACCCACGCGCGTGTTAGTTGCCATGTTAGTCGCGCGTCGAAGTTAAGTAATTTATGACGTTTTTGAATTAAAAAAAAAAAGTGTAGCGTTTCCATAATGAGAGAGAAAAATATATTTTAGTTTCAACTAATTGACGAAGGCTGGGAGGGTTTTTCTGCTTATAGACGTCTTACTCTATTATTATCCCATAATAGTAACCAAGCGGCTTTACGGGGTGATTGTTGATGACAAAAGTAGGCCTACTATATACGTGTAATCATGTACGAACCAAAACCAACCAAAACTCATCAGTGTTAAATACGGATACAGTATGGATATATATACGGCCACCGTGGATATAATAATAAATTTTATTATTATATCCACGGTGGCCGTATATATATATATATCTCCATATATCCGTATTTTTAATACTGATGAGTTTTGGTACTTTACATACACGTATATAGTACTTTTGGCATCAACAATCACCCCCGTAAAGCCCCTTGGTTACTATTATGGGATACAGCAGTAATAGAGTAAGACATTTATTAGCAGAAAATACATAACCATCCCAACCTTCGTCAATTACTGTAGTTGGAACTAAAATATGTTTTTCATTCTCATTATGGAAACACTAAACTTTTTTTAATTCAAAATCGCATAAATTACTTGACTTCTAACATTGTGCTATAATTATATCAATCGTCTTTAAACACAATTATAATTCTTAACTTTAACATTATTGTTTGCCAAACCTTACGTGTAATAATGTACCAAATACTATGTTTTGAGAACACTTCGCATTGTTTTAGATTGAGACTGGAGTTCCGAACCCACGATATCCAGATCATGTGTTCTCAACAAACGTACTGAGTTTTTGGTACATTATTACACGTTTTGCCCATCTATTTTTCACCTATTTGATTCTTCTGACGCAAAAAAACAGTCATTATCGATTCCACAGTGAAAAGTGGTTAGGCTCGTATGGACATGTAGCTCTGACGGTTATTGTCCCAAAAAAAAAAAAAAAAAAAAAAAAAATTATAAAATATTCTAATTTTCTATACAAACTTCGGAAAATATTTTGAGTCACTCCGTAATTTCTTTTCTTTTTCTTCCTTTTATCTTTACTTCACTGTTAAATGTCATACTTTTTGTATTTATCGTATTGTTTTTATTGTTACATATGCATACTACTGTACCAATATATTTTTAATAAATAAAAATTAATATTTTTACATAATTCTACTATTATTGTATGTTACACATGAAAATTATGCAATGTCTAATTAAACGATTTAAAATAAATAAATAAATTGATTAATTAAAAAATAATATCAATAATAATAATAATAAGAATGTGTCTTGAGGATATTTCCCACACGATTAAAATCGTAACGGTACTAGTATGGTCTACAGGTGTTTCGTAGGTTATTCTATTCATAGAAAAAGTCTTTATATTGGAGAAAGCGTACCTTTCGTTAGCCATAATAGGTCAATACTAACTCCGGGTATATAAAATTGATTATAGGAGTGAAAAAAAATAATATTAATCTTCTTATTGTTGTAGTGATATTATGTACACGTTTTAATTATTGTTATTTATTCGTTAAAGTTATTACATTTATATTTGAATTTACTGTATTATTTAAGTATAAATTACTATGTCCATGTTAAATTAATCTTATCTATTAAAATGGTATATTTAAATAATATAGCAATAGACATAGCACCGAGACCTCTGACGATTAGTGCCCAAAATTACAAAAACGTAATGCAATAATAGCATATTGACTACTAGGCCTACTGTATAATTTCGGAAAATATTTCAGCCGCTCCAATTCTCTTTCCTAATCTTCCTTCTTCCTTTATTCTCTCACAATTTTGCGTTTATTCATATTTTTCATATTTTTTATACACTCACAATTAGTCACTTCTTTAGACCTAGGCTAGATCTCTGATATGCCTATTACTATATTATTTAAATATAAAAGAATTACTATTACTATATTATTGAAATTCAAAGAATAAAGAAAAAACGAAAATGAAACACGAACTCCTGTAGACCATACCAGTATCGTTACGATTTTAATCGTGTGGGAAATATCCTCATGATCATAATCTTGCATACTGCTTGTTCAGTGCACTTGCTAACTGTGCAATGGAAGGTCCCGACCGTCTGGAGGCGCTGTAGTTATTTGCTCATTTGGTACGAGAGGTGTCCAGTGACTCAAGCTCACAAAGAGCTGTAAACTCGTTCTCAGGCCAAAATGAGTTTTTGTTATAATGGCATATAACCTAACCCCCTGTACTCCTAGCCAACTATAGGCCTGTACTATTTCTACTTACTATATTATACTGATAAAAAAAAAGGCGTAAGCAAATTCAATGACGCACTTGGATCAACAATTGAATCATTGTAGCTGTCACGGTTCAGTTTTTTCATTAAGGAAATGAGTTCGCTTATTGATGATTTCAGGTACATCAAGTTTACATGACGACTACATGAAAATGACTCCCAAAACGCTATTCATCAGAAAATTAGGAATTCTTCTAGCTTTTTCAGGTAAGTACAGTATGACAATTTTAGGCCTATTCTGCCGTGATTCGGAAGAACGCATTATAAGCCAAAATCATAGTTTTAAGATATTGAGCAAAACGCGTTTTTTGTTAGCCTTCTTTTGTGCGAATGTACTAACTACACAACAGAAAAACATACTGAAGAACTATTTTAATATAGTTTTTTCTATAATTCAGTCAAAATGGACAAAAAGCGCTTTTCCAAATTAAACAAAAGCCAATGAAGCATGAACAATCTGATGTTATGCATTATATCCAGTTTTGCCAATAGAATGCATACATTATTCTTTAATTAAGGACTAATGAAAAATAACAAATTAAAGTGAATTTAGAGGTTTAAATTCCATTATGTTTAAATAACTTAAAACAAAACATAAAGTTCCTTAAGGGTTTTTGTTTATATTATTTAGGAACATTATCGCATTCATTTCTTATAAAATATTTACAAAATGTTTCTGATCTGATTTAGTAAATGTGGTATTTCCCCTAAAATATAGTATGGTACATGTAAAAATTTAAATTAAATACTATCATTAACCACTACAGAAAGAAAAAGCAACAACACTGTTAGTAAGTTTTTGCAACATAAATAATCAGTTTATTTAAATTCACTATGAAGAATACCCGCATTTCAATTTAATAAACAAAAAATAAATACCCAACTTCTAAACACACTTCTTCAGGCCCATTTATTTTATAAAGTTCTGTTTCCTTAAATTATAAGGAAGTGTACTCATTTAAATATAGCTAAATATTTTAAATGTAAATTTAGCATAGGTACCGTATTATATCTAAATTTCAAGCATTGGCTTAATTGGAAAGTCTTAAGTAAAACATTTTAAAGTTGTATATGTATGTATTTTATTTTCTTTGTTGAATGGTCTTAGTTATAATAATAATTACTAATATACAGACTAAAATTTATATTATGGCCACAATTTGGTCATGGGCATATTGCAACTTATTCTTTAAAAGATGAAGAACAATACATTCTTCTTTTATTAATTGTACTCTGATCAAAAACAAACTTGGTATTATGTCCTATTATGCCCTTCCACCAGATAGGGAACTAAATAAATATGCATCATTGTTTTCTGTGATTGGTTGATTGCTCACTTTTCAAAGCTTGGTGAATATTCCGGACTTTCTTGCTTTGGTGGATGGATACAATGCGTAACTCTCATATTAATTTCCTATTTATAAACATTTTTGGGGTATATGATCGATTCACATGATAGATTGCATCCATAGCATGCCCCTAAGCCCAAAATCTCAAAATTCTCCGAAAAATGGATATAATGCGTTTTCCAGGTAAAATGGTTATTATAGCTCTTTCAGGTAAGTACAGTATGACAATTTTAGGCCTATTGTATTGTGGTATAATGAATTAGTGTCGTCATGTACTATTCAGTTCATAGCCTGGAACTGAGACTGTATGGGGAATGGTCATTCCCTGATGATTATCAGAAGCGCCTTAGTAATAGGCCTATGTTCGATATTGGTTCTTGATAGCTTACATTTGGTTAGTCCGAGATTCTGTCATCAATTGAACATATATCTTGTAACAATGGTTTTATTATATAGGCTACGGAAATATTGAATACTTCCTTGTATAGGCCGAAATTTTGAGAGGAAAATGAAATAGGCGTTTATGATATAACACTGGAGATATTAATAATTATGAGAATTTTTACCCCTTGTAACTTTTTTATATTTAAGGAAAAATAAATAACTTAGTATTTTTATTTTGTATATATAATTGATAACGCTGCTAATAGGTAAACAGGCTTACACTATAATATATCTAAGTAATTATGATAATTTATCCTTCAATATCATAAGTACATAACGGGGCTTATTTAATTTAAAACCATTAATTTCCAGGTGTCATTGGTCAAGAAGCGGTTTCATATTTTGGAAAGAAGATTGGAGACTTCGGACAGCAATCAACCCCATCGTATTCCATACAAGGAAGTGTGTATGCTGTAGACAATAATACACTATGGTTTAGAGGCTTTAGTTACAACGGCAATGCGCCAGGTAATAAACGTAGATTTACTTTGGGCATCTGGAATCGAAACAGAGCGCTAAGCTTGTCATAAAAAGGAAGCCAAAAGAGAGGAGGCTTATTTCCATTTTGGTTCTGGACGATACTTCAATAGAGATCAATGGGAAAGTTGACCGGGTAATGGGTTTTACTGGAGCATGTCAAGGTGTACCATTATAAATAAATTGTACTAATTTACACAAGTAGGCCCCCACTCTTTGAAAATACACTGCCTACAAAAAAGAACGGTTTAGGCAGACCTTGACAAAAAATTTAAGTCAAATATATTTTTAATTAGATGTAAAACACAAAAATAAGAGTAGTGTGCTCTCAGATTGTGAAGTGTCATTGAAATTTTATTTATGTAAAGTCTTAAAAAGTCATGATTTTCTTTTACATATTTAGATGCGTTTTTCTGGATTGGATCATCGAATTCTCCCGATGATTCGGGCTCTTTAATGACTGACGAAACTGGAAGGTATTTAAAGAATTAATTATCTTTATTAAAGAATTATTATTTATTTATTAATTATTATAACTGCTGTATTAATATAATTACTGCTATTACGGTTATAAATACTATTATTATACTAACATAATCATTAATTATTACTTTTATTATTATTAAACTCCTATATGATTAATGTTCATTGTGTTTTTTGTTTGTTTTTTGTTTTTTAGCGTTGATCCGCTGCAAGAATACACCAATCAAAACTTAATTATATATTTACCACTTGACGGTAATATTGCAGACTACAGTTGGATATCTGTGTGGAGTAAAAATCTTTCGGTAAATTAACTCAGATCCCTGACCCGCCATAAAAAAGAAGTAATAATAATAACGACAATGATAATGATGATATAACAATATAAAAATAGGTCTAATATAATAATAATAATAATAATAATAATAATAATAATAATAATAATAATAGGCCTAATAATAAATAATAATAATAATAATAGCCTAATAATAATAAGTTTGCGTATTTAAAACGATTGTTGTACTTAATAGAAAATTTCTCTATAGGCTTGTAAATAATAATAATAATTATAAATAATAATAATAATATAATAGGCCTAATAATACGTCTAATAATAATATTAATAATAAAAATAATAGGCCTATTAATAATAATAAAATTTTGCGTATTTAAAACGATTGTTGTACTTAATAGAATATTTCTTTATATGCCTAATAATTATATATACATGGTTTAATTATGTTCATATTTCCATCAGTTTCTAATTTTGTATTTCAGAGGAGCTTGGCCCATCTGTCCATTCCCACATCTTTTAACCCGCCGACAACACGCGACCTGGGATCACTTGGCCTGAGCCCACTAGTCCATAAAACCGAAGCGGATCGCGTTGAGATTCTTGACACACAGACTGTTAAATTTTACAATCTCAAATATGATGGAGAAGGCCCAGGTAAGATACATGTAAGAAAACATTTATAGTAACCAATTTCTTTCGCTCTCTTTAATAAGCCATGTCGGCATTTTCAAATTACGCATCACTATTGTCAAATCATCATCAATATTTTTACTAATTATACTTATTATTGCAAAAATATTTTAGCTGCATATTTCTGGGTCGGTTCTGGAAGTCCATCTCGTTCAGGTATACGCCTACCCGATGAAACTGGAAGGTAAGAACCGTAGGTCTACAAATCATATTCTGTGCACAGTGCTGATGATAATATTAACCATGTTCTGTAGCGTACGCCTATGGGCTTTCAGGGAGAAGGGCGAGGCCCCAGGCCCCTATCCCAAAGGGTTCTCGGAGGGGAACTGGAGTCCCCACGAGCCCCTCTTACTAACAGCCAGTTCACTACAACAGAGCCATGTCATTCGGACCTTAAAGAGACCAAAACTAGCAATAAAACAACATAATAATCACGAATTTTTAACGGTACTGACATTGGCTATAATGCAGTCTTTTTAGCCTTACAGTAGTATTCATAAATGTTTAAAGGTCGGAGGGGGATTCACTCCCCCCGTCGAAGAGAAAAAGCACAATTCGTCGGGGAGAACAAAAATTATATGTATTTTCTACATATTAGTAGAATCTAAAATCGAATAAATAAGCCTTTGAACCTCCTAAATTGTCAAAGTTTTCGGGGGCTTTGCCCCGGGACCACTCTCCAAACCTTTTAATCCAAGCTCGACCACGCCCACTTTGCTTTCGTCGCTGAAATCTGACCCCTCGTCGGGGCATCGCCCTTCCCCCGTCAGGGGAAAACCTGGCGCCATGGGCCTCAACACTGTCTTTCCCTGGGCTCCTTAACAAGGGCGTCGGAAGCGGTCCGGCTGGTCCGGTTTTGGCCGGACCAATAATTTACAACTCAATATCGTTTGTAAGCCAATTGTAGGCCTACTTTCTCTGACGCAACCTCTTTTTTTTTTTTTTTTTTTTTTTTTTTTTTTTTTTTTTTTTTTTTTTTTATAAAATTAAATGACCTGACTTCAAGCAACAAACCAGTCAACTTCGTCTAAATGTAGTAGTAGCAACCCTAACCTGTCTTAATTATAGTTTGTTTTAACCTGGATGTTCTCTTGGTGAAGATAGCGGTCTGTTTGAAGTTGCTGAAAAACGCACAACTTTTCGAAATTTACCACGTGTTTGGAAAAGGAGGCGTGGTGTGTGGGGAAAAGACGACTTTATATAGAACAAATTTGAAATTATTTCATTTTTACTGTAGTTATGTATCAATAACTTAGGCCTATTTATCATGATTTGATTCAGCACGCAAATAATAATCTTTCGGCCCCGAAAGCTAGACTCAAAAACACCCGGATGGTGTCCGGCGGGGAATAGTTTTAGATTTAGATAACTAGAAGATTAAATTAGTTCTAGTAAAAAATGTCACTTGCTCAGAAATCTTTATTCAGGCCCCGAAACCTCGACTCAAAAATACCAGGGGTGGTGTCAGGTGGGAAATAATTTTTCCTCAAAAACTTTCTTAGGCCTAAATTAAGGTTATTTTTATTTTTGTTTTTTTTTTATTTTATTTTATTTTATTTTTTGTTAAGAATTAATTATCTTATTATTTAAGAGCGTTAAATGTTAAAAAGCTTTGCGTCAATCTAATTCTTTACATTTCAATTTCATGTTTTCATTTATTCTTTTAGACAGGCTTTTAATTTTCTATTGTCCATACATGTGACTATGAATATGATATGTAATAACTCGAAATCGAAACTAAACGATTAAACATTAAATGTATATTAAAACGGCTGTTTTTCATCATCTGCTAAGAAAATAATTCAGTAAAGACATACCACAAACATAGCATATTAAGGCAATTTGATAAAATTCTTAATGTTCATCCAGAGCATGACAAAATATTCAATTTTTTAAATGAATGTAAAAGATAATGTATTAAACCTATACCGTACCTTGTTCAATGTTCATTTCATTGCATATTATACATATATCCCTGGTCTTCAATAAGCGGTCCACTAGGCAAATTAACTTGGCCCATGGAGAAAAACAAAATAATGACAAAAAAATATTTAAAACATAATAGGCTTATAAAAATTTCTATAAATACATTTTCAATAAAGTAGAGAAAAATTCAATCCCTAGGTAATGTGCACGGGGTGGTTTGAATTTAGCAAGATGATATACAGTAAGCCATAAATAGAATAAATTGCGCCAGAAATTTATCACTGGGTACCGTACTTTTCGTGGTCCTCTAAACCCTGTAAACAAAACTATTAGAAAAACTCCCGAGATTGGTATAATTTTAGCTGATCTAATTAAATATAACAGCCCAGTGGAAGTAAAAATTTTACCATAGACATGTTAACATTTTAAGGTCCTCATGCATGATTTGAGACTCATGGTAGAAGAAGCCTATTGTTAACATAGAGGTAAACACAGCTAAATTTAGGTTATTGCAATACGTCTACGGTATAATAAATATCTATATATCGCCTAATGTTAATAACATCTAGGCTTTATGGCGTATTTGGTTTTATCGTCTATTCGTAAGTCTATTTATTTTACTTGATAATAAACAGCTAGTGAACTAAAGAATAGTGAATAATAAAAATACATTTCGATTGTCCTGCAAGTAATTCAAGTCATATAGGACTCTATATATGACGCCAAGTTCTGTCTCTGTATTCTGAGCATTGTGTTTCGTCAATAGCTTTTTTTCTTCAATTCATACAGAATTAGCATCACCCCGACATTTGTGCCGGCAAGTTCCATCTCTGTAAATTGTTTTGTTCAATGAGATTCGTTAATAGCATTTTTACTTTACAGGCAATAAAAAATTGGTGTTTCAATAGACAATACTCATAAAATTGCATTTCGCTAGTCCTACATGCATACTGTGAACTTCGGAAAACTGCTGGTATTTTGACTGACGACTGTTAAACTGATGCCAGGTCCACACAGAAATTTCCCGCTACCCAATTAGGTCATGACCACAAGTAGGTCCCTATAATTTCAAATTGCAAATAGACCTATATTAGCGGAAAGAGTTCACACACAGATGTAAAACGATTGCTTTCAACTCGGCTGAGATTATATTTGGCCCGTCAGATCAACTCTATAATTTAGCCCTTTAAACAAATTAATTAAGAACCAGGGACATGTATTATATGCGGAAACTCGTGTACATAAACATCGACAATTTTTAAATATTGTATTGCATAAATTTTGTAGGCCTATTTGTGTGTTTATTTAACAAAGAAGCATCTCGTTATTATTGTTATTATTTAATTACAGGCCATAATAACCTGTCACACTCACAATGATCAGAATACATTCCATTTATCAGTGATATGGAAGTCTCAGGAGAGACTGCAAAATTGCAATAAAGAAACCTTGAAATAATCTTTTTTTTTTTTAGCTATTTGTCAAACCTAAGAGAAGAGCTTGCCTTCTAAGTGGGTAGAAATACGTTACCAATTGTTTCGCATCGTGCGGGACGGTCCCGCATTTCAAAGTGGTTTTGGTTGAAACACGCATTTTGCAGAAACACACGCGTGATCATAAATGTGTCACGCATTTAGCGCTGGTATATGCGTGATAACAAATTACCATGGATTCAAAATTAGAAGAAATTGGTTTGATTAAAAAGGGCTTTATAAATTGAAATACTTAATTCACTGACGCGTTACTAACAATTGATAAGTATCCTCATTTTTTGTTTGTTTTAAGTAATGAAATGTTTTTGTACATAGTTCAGGTGCTCAAATTAAACATAATGTACATTAAAAATATTTTTGTTTATTTACCGTACCCGGTATTGTCAACAAACACTCCATGAAATCGTTTTAGAACAGCTTAAAAATGCTCAGATTATCGGCAGGGTGACTCGCCCCTGGACCCCTACCGGGGCTCCGCCTCTAAACCCCAGAGAGGGCCTGGGACCCCCATCCCCAGCCAACAGTAGTCACGCATTTAAAATATCTCATGGAAATATCTCTTCTGTAGTTAATGTTTTTTTTGTGGCCGGGAGTGGGTGGGGAGTGGGTATCGTCGGATCTGGCCGGACCAATAAATATTGCTTCCAACGCGCTTGCTTAACTCGCAATTAAGCCATTGACCATGTTGACATTATTACAATACGAAGTTAGTCCCTCTACATCGAAGCCAGCATGTTTAGAAGTAAACTTTAATACCGTATACCGTACAATGCGAAACAGTAAAATACAATACGATATATTTTATTGGTTCATTTATATTCGCTTTTTCTTGTCTTAATGTTCACAGGATAAAGGTGAGGACATCACCGTGAGGTTTGACGGCGATCAGACCGTGTTCGAGTACGATTACATCGGCCTTTGGTGCGAACAGGCTCGTCAAAATTTCGGACACGTTAGCATTCCCAACCGCAGAGACTTAAACATTCCACCATCTCTTGACACATACGAGGTACGGTAAATCATTTTCTATATTCTCGTACCGATAATACTAAAGGCGTAAAATAGTACATTGCTGATTATACCAAGTTAACGACACGGACTTTCAACATATGAACTACAATAGGCCTACTTGCACAATATAAACATAATATATACATAATATGTGGGTTTTTGCATCAGTCAATCATTGTGAGTGCGTCGGAAATTTTACGATTAAATATTTAATTTTTAATATCGCGACTGATGATTTGGAATGGAATGAAACCAAGGTCTGTGATACCAAAGATTTTCTATATGATTAAAAAACTCCACTTTCTCAAAACCTTTTAGAAATATATACTGACTATAGTGATGTTGATAACTAAAGTTTAAAGCTTTGCTCCGTCTTGTAATTGGCGGCTTCTACTTTGATGATAAGATAATGATAATGTTAATAATGGAAATGATGGTAATGATGATGGTAATAATGACTTCAGCTAGGCCTAGTTATGATGAATGTGGAAGAAATTTTATACAAAAACAATATTCGCTACACATAAAATTTAGGGTGATGATGATGATGATGATAATGATGATTATGATGATGATGATGATTATGGCCAACATGTTTATGATGATGACTATAAAGATGATGTTGATATACGAAAATAACCTTTGGAAAACTTTGGTGTAGTACAATGATATAAATATTTCTAAACAGATTCCTGATAATTACGACAACTGCGAGGAACTACACGACCGGCTTCAAGTAAGCTGGAGTCTTACAGAGGACACCATTAATATACAGCTCCGTGGCGTAGTGAACATCAATGATTATATGGCATTTGGGATTAGCGGCTCGGAGAGTAGAACTCAGATGGTTAATTCTGACGTAATAGTGGCGTGGTTTGATGGGAATGTCGGTCGAGCTCAGGACTACTTTTTCTAGCGCATGCATAGAAACTCACCGTACATAATTTGGTGCACGGCGGCTCAGGGTTGGCACAGCGAGTTAGAAAAGAAGGGCTAAATGCGGTGGCGCCAGGGGGAGGGGGGGGGGGGCAGTCGGACAGGCCTGTACCCCCTCTTGTCCGACGCCATGACGATGTCGTCGGATCAAAAATATTTTTAAAAATACTGTTTGCCTATCCAAATAACGTTATTTTAATTGCCAATCCCAATTGTAGTCGTCTAAAAGCATATTTTGGACCATATTAATCTCTAAAAACTCTCCCGAGATCCCTGGACAGTACAAGGGATTTTTTCCGTGACCAGGACCAAGGCTAGAGTCGGCCCCTTGTTTCGGATCCCCCCGTCGGACACATCGGACCCCTTATCGGCAAATTTCTGGAGCCATAGTTGCTGGGCCCTTTTTGGGTATTATTCGCTATTCAATCGTGGGATGTTAGTTATGCCCATTTTTCAATCCTGTTTGTCACTGTTATTCTAAAAGTTTCTAACGACGAAATGATATAAAATCAGTGGCGGCTGGAATTTGAAACAGAGGGGAGACAAGGGAGAACTTTCAGAGATGGGGGTATATACCACCTTAGCGCCACCATGGTTGGGGCTAAGGTAAGAAAATTTATAATTATGGCTGAACCATGGGTCCTCGATTGCCACTCGGGCCACACCGGAAAAAACATCTGATCCAACAATGATTTACGTTTTGATATAATTTATGCCTGGATATTTTCTGTTTCCAAACGTGAATAGTGTTCAGGTGGCAATGGAGCTTGTCCTGATGTCAAAGTCAATGGGGTTAACAATGTTGAAGGCATAAGTGCCTCTGTGTTGAATGGAGTAACGGCAATCGAATATACCAGAATGCTGGACACAGGTAAGGACGAACCAATAAATTAACTATGATTATTCAGCCAATAAGTTGATTATCTGTGCGTTCAACCCAGACTATTGAATTTATAGGTTTACTATTTAGCATGCAATTAGCGGTAATACATATTTGATTCATTCAGTACAACATTATTATTGAATTATGACAAATCTTTTAAAGATGTTTTGTGTCTAACTCTATCAATTTCTTTTAAGATGACGATTTGCGGGACACAGTAATTTCAGCAAGTAATGTGACTCAAATAGTCTGGGCGATTGGCCAGATAAACGGAGATGGACTAGCCGTTAGACACATCGAACGAGGTAAGCTTTTCCTACGAGATTAACTAGGTTGGAAATTAACTAGGTTAGGCGAGTTGATTGGCCCGAGCGGTTAAGTCAGAGGCACCGTAACCTTCAGCTATAATATCGGCGCTAGTTCGAACGGCTCACTCGTCAATAGTTCCGGTGGTGGAACAAGTCTTCTCGGACAAGGAGTGTACGCATTTGTCCCGTGTGCACTTTAAAGAACCCAGTACATCCTTCGAGAAGAGTAGGGGGTTATCTTGGTGTACTGGTCCAATCAGTCCCCTGTTGTTTAATGGATATGCCACCTAGGATAGTGATTAAGTTCGCTGATTGGCATATCCTTGGCGCTCGTGACTAAGGAAATGAAATGAAAGAAATGCGAGATTATTGATATAAACAGACCAATATTGATGCAAGATAATCTTATTTCTGATATATTATTTTAACTAATTATTAACTAGTTGTGTTTGAAGAGAACGCCTCAGCGCAGTCGGTTAAACTGTTAGTAGCCACTGTGTGTGCGCTGAACCATGGCGATCTTGGACCTCTGTTCAATTCCCTTGATGCTCTTCTTGTTATCTCAGTAAAATGGCTTAAATGCAAACTTGCACACCGTAACTTCTTTCGGATGAGACGTTTAAGCCGTTGATCCCGTGTGCAATATGGCTCATGTACACGTCAAAAAATGCAGCCCCCTGTACTGTCCAACTCACCACCAGAACAACTCCACTGGATATAAACCTTAAGGACTTTCGTGGGCTAACTTTAGCATATTTCACACCGAAGAAATCGAATCCCAATCCAATTCACGCAAAATGGTTGCTTTAATCATGCTTTAATAGGTGGTGGAACGGTAATGTTCGGTCGTAACGCATTGAGGAACTGTGAATCGCTTGTCGATGGAAGTAAAGAGGTAAACGGATGGAAAGAATTACAACTAATTGGTAACAGCGATACCACCGAATTCACGGCCGTCATTGGTCAGTCCGGAGGAGAGAGAGGATATACCAGTATCACCGGTAAGCGACATCCATTTCTCTAAAACTAAAATTTGCCACCTTCAACACTTTTCTATTCCACATTTTTAATGTTTTCCTATCCATGTTATCTATTATTTTTCATTTTGTATAATCCATTATTTATGCTTCCCATCACTCTCGATGTTTACTCATCCTTTCTCCATTTTCTCACCCTTCTTCCATTAACGTCTGTAAAGGTTTTCCTATCACTTTTCCTTATGTTTTCCATTCCCTTTACTAATGTTATTTATAATTCCTTCATGGTATTCTTTACTTTAACCACTAACAACACTATCAATTTGTGTTTAAATATATTATACCTCTTTCGCAGATAATGTCGGTTGGGGAATATCTTGGTACATAAACGACATGCTAATCCCAAAACTCACATTGAAGCGGGGTACCAAGTACACGTTTAAGGTTTTTGGCGGCAATGATGCGAATCAATCTGCCTCCTATCATCCCTTCTATATTACAAACGACAAAGGTGGAGGATACGCAACATTGACAGAAATGGAGAAATTGGTAGAAAAACGAATTATTTATCTTTCAAATAATGTTTTTTGGGGTAAAATTAGAAACAAACCGAACAAAATTTAATAAGCCAATTTGTAGTTTGAACTGCGCATGCCTGTATCAAGGTCAAGGTAAACAAACATACGGTACAACCATGGTACAACATAAGTTTATGTCGATTGACCCATATTGACCTTATATACGGGCACACGCCGTTCAGCCTACGAATTGGCTTACTAAAACATATATTTGGAATTTTCACCTCGATGTTATGGTATCTAAACTGACCAGTGGCGCACACTCCCACCTCCCCCACCCACTCCAAAAAAAAGTACTCGCTCAAGTAGTTAATCACGTTCAAGTAGTTAAAAATCACCTCAAATCACCTTATTTTGCGAGCTAGCTAGCTCCCACTCACTTAATCATAAACCCCGCCCCTCTTCACTTACGCCCTCCCCTTCGCCCCCTCCCCATTTCAAGACTCCAGATAAATATTGTTGTTAGGTTCTTTAAAAATCCCAGAGCATATACATACCTGAACGTGTGTTTTTGTAATGGGAAGTAGCCTACATGCTCGTAATCATTAATTAGGACTCACGTTTGCTAGTGCGTGGCGTCAGCTTCAATCTACTAGTCAATCATAAACGATCAGTAATGATTCGTCTTCCTTTGTAAATTAGAAGTAAATATTTCAGTTTCACAAAATTGCCTGAATGAATAGATGCTGTTAATATTAAATTGTTTATTTCTTGTAGAACCACGTTATATACGCTGGACCAGTAAGTAAGTAGCAATCACTTCTTTTACATTGCATTGCATTGGCTTTAACTCAATTGCTTCACCATGCATACTCCCGCTGTATTGCACCTTACTGTTGGTCACAAAAATGCTTGTTCTAATGACGTAATCATTTCACGTTCCTTAGACGGATCTCTCTGCGAATTGAACGACAAGAATGGAGACCAAAGCATGACTTCAACATCGGCCGAAGGATATAGAAAGACACTGGAAGAGAAATGTCTTTCACCAAAGGAACCGGCAACACTCACCTGGACACCTGACGACAACACACCGGGCACCGTATACTATCAGGTAAAGCCTATTTTTCAATAAAATCACCTCACTGTCGCTATTATGGCGTTCCTATTTCAATCGCTAGACTCAATACTGATGACGTAATGAAGCCCCTCTCCTATTTTTGTTTTCCCGACACATGAACCGAGTTTAGACCAATTCCTGAATGCATAAACTTTAAGAAAAACTAATACAAAAATATCATAAACATTATGAATATATAGATATTGATGGCGCACTGCACATGATACTGCCATTCCCTAAGGCCTATTTCTCATGCGTTTGACGGCGAGTAAAGTTTAATGTCTAAGTAAATAATTCACTTTATATTATCGATGCATAGACTTACTCTGTCCGAATCTGAAGTTATTAAACTTGATTGTAATACAGTATTATTATTTGAGTGACACCCTAGAAAGTTTTATTACCATAGCAAAGGCATATCATAACACCTAGATTTGTCATCAGCTGTAAACGCATACATAAATATGAATACGTAATAAAATTAGACGACAAAACTTCGACTATATCTTGTTGTTATTTAATTCCAGTGTTACACACACCGTTTTCTCGGTTGGAAGATTGATGTTGTTGACGTACTTCCGTCATCTGCTGTTGACAATGAGAAACCCAATGTGGTATGCCCTGATGATATTGTATTGGGTACAATCACAACTCAAACCCTAGCGACTTGGAGTGAACTGACAGTTAATGACAATGTTGATACTGGTCTTTTAGCTACTTGTACTCCATCCTCTGGTACATCATTTAATGTTGGTTCAACTAAAGTTACTTGTTTTGCTATTGATGTCGCTGGTAATGAGGCAAACTGCACGTTTAGAGTTTATGTCATTGGTAAGTATGTATTTATTGAGTAGCGAATAGCATTTTAAGCAATAATTCTAAAAATAATCCTAGATATATAAACATGCAGTATAATAAATAATAGAAAAAAAATACAAAACACGGTTATAACCTAAATTTAGTATTCACAGACACAATAATTTGTTTTACATAATAACATCTTAACTTTTTTTACTTAAGACATTTGCTAAGCTGAGATTAATAAATCCCGGGCCTGTACTTTATAAGTCATTTGTGACGTCCATCACCTTTTCTATTGCTATTTAATCAAACTGCTGGTTTTAAAGCGGTATTCAAATCAAACTGCATGCTGGCTGGGGTGATTGGTTGCCCAACAATGATTATTGCGCGTATTTAAATGATTAATAATAGCAATGTGACTACTGTGAAAAATAAAAATTCACAAATTGAGTGTAAAAAATCGCAAGATTGCTTTAAAAATCTCAAGATTCGCAAAATATTACTATGTACATACAACTTCTTTTAAAAGTCCAATTTTAAAGTTTTTCCCAATGAATTATTATAATTATTATACTGTAGGCCTACTGTAATTTGTACTGTATAAACGAGAAAAACTCGTTCGTTTTGATTTAACTGTGTATAATTTTCTAAAGTTAAGGGAGGGAGGGGTTGGTCGTGGTGGCGGCGAATATCTTACATGAATTGAAATCACGTAAAAAAAATTTTTTCTTTTTTTGTATAGGCCTATATACAGAAAATATTTCTTTATTATGGAAAAAAGGCATTGATTTTTTCGGGAGGTAGGCCTATAAGGTGGTACGATTAAAGTATTTTTGATGAATTTTATTGAACTTATAATTGTCAAATTAAAACATAATAATAAGAATTAATATATTAGAACCTGACGACATTCTCTTTAAATTCAATAAAATGTATGAAAAATTATGAAAATCTTGAATTAACTGACCCTAATAAACATAAAAGAAACTGAACATCTAATAGAAATATTTAAGTCCTATTTAGACCTATTTCAAAGATTACGTTAACAAATTTAGATGTGGGCAGTAGACCCTGGTCTAGCCTAGCCTAAGTTGATTCGTGAGCCTAGATGAAATCATTTTATTTTCAGCCTACACCGACCGAAATGTGATTACTGTACATTCTCATAAATGCTTGAAAACATTTATATTTCTAACAAGGTTAAATTAATGCATTAAAAAAGTCCTTCCGGCCTTGTAGCTGTCTGGGGGAGGGGGGGGGCCAGGGGGGGGGGGGGGGCTGAAGTCCCACCGTCTGGTCAAGCCCCCCCCCCCCTCCCAATCGGCCAAAGGTTGTCGGGCAGTCGAAAAAAAGAAAAAGAAAAAAAATAGGCCTAATTTTCCCATCCCAGCCATTTCCAGCCATCTACTAGTCTAGAAGTCCCAATTTTTTAAAAACAAGCCTCGTTTTGGGAGGAGGAGACATCCCCTCCCCATACCCATCCCGGCTCGGGCTTCGGCTATAGTTACACCCATAAATACTTAGCCCCCAAGTCGGACATCTTAGCCCCCCACCCCATAAATTCTAGAGTCGCCACTGTTTGTAGGCCCTCAGAATGTTTCCATGCACTAATCTAACCTTCGTATAATAAATTTCCACTAGTGTATGATACGCAACTATTCTAAATACTTATTAGTGATCAGTCGAGAATATGAAAATTTAGTGCACATGAAAGTGATGACGTCACCATTGACTTATAATGATAATAATTATTATTACATTATTATTATTTAGTTGTCTTAACATCATATATTACTATTTTGGGTAAGAATATGTTTTTTATGAGAATATGTTTTTTTTTCATAAAATTTACTACATCCATTTTTCTTATCATCCGAAATTTTAGAAGATCATAAGAATCCTACTTTAGTGTGTCCTGCTAATGTTGATGAAACTACAGAATCAAACCAAGCTACACTTACATGGACGGGCCCAGTAGTCGGTGACAACTTAGATTCTAGTCTGTCAGCGTCTTGTAGTCCGTCCTCTGGCTCATCATTTTATGTTGGTTCAACTAATGTCACTTGTAATGCCTATGATACAGCTGGTAATGAAGGCAAATGTATGTTCGTTATCAATGTCATTGGTAAGTTTGCCTTTTTGTAGCTTAAAATTTCCATTGCTATTACTCTGATAATAATAATTATTTGATTGTCTCTATCCATTAGAGTATTACTCTAATGGGCGAGAATATATTTTTACAAAAACGTACTACAGCCATTTTTCCTGTAAACCCAAATCTTAAAAATCCCTACAAGTACTGACTTTATTGTCGTGATGATGATCAAGATGATGGTCATAGTTATTGTCCTTACGGTCGTGTTGGTGACGAGTAAGATGATGTTAATCATAGGAAGATTGTGATCATAATTTACAAAAACTAAACTAATTTAAAAATCTACTACTGAAAGTAGGTCAAAGGGAACTATACGTTTAATAAAAAAAATTGTAATAAACAGTTGATCCAGTGCTTTAACAAAAGTGTAAGTGTTTAATATCTGTTACTGTGTTTTCTCTTTGAAGGCGTTAACAACACATCATCTGTACCCGGTTACCTAGTAATAGTGGTAGTTATTGTTTGTATCTTCATCCTGGTGATGTTTCCGGCAATGTTCTATTGCAGGTATATTGTTGTAAATTATTTATAAATAATTAGCATTAGCTGAAATCTGGAGGGATCAGTTAAATTTCGTTGGTTTTCTATGTTTGCTATCTTAATTTAAATTAATATTCATGTGAAGTATAAACTACTAAATAAAACAAACAACAAAGAATAGGTTGCGTTTCTGTTGCGTTTCTTCGTGTTAGTTGTATTTTTTCCCATTTTTAATGTTGCAAATTTGTTGTACAGTAGGTACTTTTTAAGTAGGGCCTACAGGTACAGGATCAAAGCAATATTTACAATTCATATTAATTATGCTTGAATTCCTATTATGCTCGAACTTACAGATTTTTAATTCATATATACAATTATAACCTCATTTAACTTGGATATTCTGTCACCTTCGGTAATATAATTTTTTTAAATAGCATTTTATGTATTGCTTATGTCAACCACATCAATTTAGAGCTCAAAGGGCAAACGCAGAGACGGGTTGGGTAAACAATGTTTTATTCAGTATTTTCTGCATTCTCAATGGTCTTGCCCCAAACTACTGTACATCTCTAATCTCCTCCAATATAAAATCTACTTCTTGCCTTCTTAGATCATCTAACAAGCATCTTCATGTGCACCCCTTATATTATGGAATGCTCTTCCTCTTTAATTCAAAACCTCATCTTCTGTCAGTATGTTTTAAACAAGTTAAAAACATATCGTCTCCTTCACCTGTAAATTGTTTTTTTTTTTTAAACATTTTTCATAGTCGTCCAAGCATTATCAATTAAATCAGTATTTAATGTGCACTTTGAGTAATGTCATTGTCATAGCGCCACTGAACATTGCATTCTGCCGTATTGGGGCTATATAAATCCTTGTTGACTGATTGATTGATTTGTGGGTTTCTTAAAATTATTATATTGTTTTATACAAAAATTTATAATCAAGAAGTCAAATTAAAATTAAATAGTCAATTTTGTATTTTAAATGCTCTAATTCAGGATTCGTATACACTTCTGGAATAAGTCATATTTCTGACTGGAAAATATACCGTACAGTGTGCCGTACTCGTGCGAATAATATATAATATTTTTTAGCACTTTTTGAGGGGCGCTTATTCAAACAGGGCGCTTATTTAAACGGGGCGCTTATGAAAACAGAGTGGAAATTGAGGGGGAAATTAAGGGGGCGCTTATGGAAATAGATGGAATTGACGGGTTCTTTTGGGAACTTATTAAATTCAAGAGGCACTTTTTGAATGAAAAACGATTATATAAGGACATCGGGAAATCGCAAATTACGAATGGTTTTGCGGCGGAAAAGATAATCGTGAGAGCATGCTTCGTCATGACAAGAATGTTGTGAGTATTAACATAACAGCAGAATAACAGATGAAATTAGTGGTGGTGGTGGTGGTTAGCTCGGCCAATTAAGATAAGCAGGGTGGCATGATCATTTTAGCCTGATTCGAGCTTGGGCCTTCGTCAACAGACATGAGAAATTTCTTACAAATTTACAGGTAGAGATAATATAAAACGTATGTGCTACTGTAAATGGCTTGTAATTTCCACAACACGTTGCCATCATGTATCGTGATTATCGATATTGATACATTTACTTTCAGTCTGCAAATACAATACATTTGTTGTTCAATTAAATTTAATTTTCTTTCACTTTATTCATCGTAGGTCCATCGTTCGACACCTGTAGCCCCTATTTAGAGATGCGTTGACGCGTCTAAACATCACACAATAAAGATACAGATTGGTTTGAAAAAGCGAAGAAAAAACGTTCATTTACGATTAGTTATATTATCTATAAGAATGCACCAAGTATGGAATAGGCCTACTACCGTATCTCTTACATAAAATAAATTTTAAGGGGCAAGCTTAAAATTTAAAGCAAACAATATTTTAGATTAGAGGGCAAGAAACAGTCGTAATCAAATATATGTCATACACACACGTGCCGTCACGTAACAATTGCAGGTTTTCTTAAAAATTCAGATGAGAATGTGTTAAAGGTGCAAATTGTCAGAAAAGGAGTAGGACTAGGCCTAGACAAATGTAAGATGATGAAAGTTGGAAATATAGGCCTACTGTCTGTCCAAGGAGTTCTCATTTGTCCAAGAGAAATATCCTCATTTTTTATTTACCTAAGGAGAATGTGATTCCACCCCACAGCTCAAATCATGCCAACATCCCCAGTCCCAGGATTGATTGGATTATTGACTTGCTAAAAAAATCACGTGAGAGGCGCTTATTCAAACGGGGTGCTTACTAGCGCGAGTACAGTACCGTATAAGTTGAAGGAATGAAGTTTTAAAAACTTACTTTTGTTGTAATGTGGATTCTGATAAACATTAGAACAAGAATCACACAAAACACGACATTAATTAATGTCACTATTTGATATAAATATGAAATATGAAATTACTTGTTATTTTTCCAGATCATATTATGCCCGAAAAAACGAAAGAAATATAAATTATGATGATGTTGAAATACCAAAACCAAAAACATCAATAAATGCACCGGGGAACACAGAAGAAATCTCCATGGGGAATGTTAATGCAGTTTACGAAAATGATGCTGTAAAGAGACGGACAAGGATGAACAAACCTGGTTACATTGATCCTAAATTACTACCACTGCCAAGAGAGACAAATCCAGAATACGAAGATCTGCACACTTACATTGGAATGGATTCAGCATATACTAACCTTAAAAAGTAGATTGTTTTAGCATAAGAGCCTCTTATGAGGTCTAAGGTCAGTCAAGTTCCAGGGACCTAAGAAAGACCACCTCTGGACAATTAAAAAACCTGGATATTACGTTTTTGTTATATTAGACGTATTAGCTGAGATATTTTTTGTATTCATAATTTATTTGAGACATGAAATTATACTATAATAAAATATACACACAATTACTGTAGCCAATACAGCCAAATATTATAAAATTTTCTACAACAAAATAAATTCCTCTTTTTATGTATGCAAACAAATTATAATGATGATGATATTGCCGTTCCGCTGAGAAGTCAATTCAACATCTCCGCCTCAGCTGCTAGTCCAGTCCGAAATGTAGCAATATCAGAGGTTGCATTTTTTTTTTGCTATATTTTTTAAGAATTGGATATGATGTAGAATAGACATAGATAAATCAAAAAAAGTATATGCAACATTTTTTTCATACGTAAGTGGGGTTGCCAGCAGTTTCGAAATGGCCGCCAATTTTTCCTAAAATTGTCACTAATATTGTAAATTTATGTCATTAAAATGCAGTATTCAATTGGAAATCCACTCATAACAATGACATCAACAGTTAACTAAATATTGTACACATTTTTTATATTGCGATAAATTATTGTGAGTGGAAATAATTTACGATCAAACAGGACTAGGGAGATAAGGGAGCACACAAAGCACTAGTTAGCATTTTGATTTCTCAAACATAAAGGTGATTTACTTAATTTATCATTATCATTTGCGGCTCCAGGAGGAAAGCAAAATAGAGGGGGAACAGGGAGGGACTTGCACAATTTGGGAGAGTAGAAGAACAAGAAGAAAATTTACGATTATGACACCTCCAGATTGCCGGAATTGGCGCTCTCAGACCTGAACTTTTTTCCATTTTTAAAAAATAATTTTGAAAAATTTAGGGTCGGCTCGGCCCGACTTGATTCCGCCACTGATTATTATGACGTCATTGCGAGATTGCGTCAACGTAACATTGGAGTAAAATTTTGGTATCACTAAATCAAATTAGATGGACATGTTCGTGTCAAAGGCTGTAAAATTATTATTTAATAATGGCTATATAAAATTCAATTGACTAAATATATATTTTTTTTAAATTAGGAAAAACAGTAATCCTATGTATGAAGATAATGTTAGAATATGAGTATGGTAACTCCGCAAAATGACAGACGTGAGGCCACAGTTGATTCTACGTATTCTTGGACTTAAACTATTCATTCTTGACAATGTTCCAATAAAGAACGAAACGTAGAATCAACTGTGGCCTCACGTCTGTCATTTTTCTGAGTCACCATACTCATATTCTATTTACGTATAATCAGTGGATCCTTTGGTTTTTAGATAATATTAAACACTAGGAATGAATCATTTACATTAGAAATTATGCACATTTAATGTTTGTCAAAATATTGGCCTAATAATCATACGCGCTTCCAATTTTAACAACGTTCAGTATATTGTTTTCACAATAAATTTAGCCTATGATAACCGCTGCACCCATAAAATCTATGTAGTGGTTTCTGAGATGGTTACGAAATGTATAAACAATTGCGTTTTTACTCGGCTTTGGTCCGCAAATTACGTACCGCACTTGGAAAACTGAACAAACAAAATTCATGAGTCATGCGTAATTGTTATTCTTTACATTCGCTTTTAAAAGTGGGGTTTTAATTATAGAAGATCGGTGAAAATTGGGGGGGGGGACAATCGATATCGACTTTGAAAAGTGGGGGACGTGTCCCCTGTCCCCACCGATCGACGCCCATGTCTGTTTCAGGTGTAAGGAACATTGAATGATTATTGGGCGGATTAAGATATGTTGAGAAATTGGCCTGCGATGATCTAGTTGATTGAGAGAGTTTGTGGCCAATTTCGACAAAATATTTATTGAATTCAGTTGAAATTTGGAATTTATCAGTAATTCTGGTATTATTCTTTAATATGTGAGAGGGAAGTTTTGGGTTTGTTTTTCTGCCGAGAGCAGAATTAATAGTTTGCCATGGTTTTTTTTTATGTCATTTTTATGGGTATCAAATTGTGATTTATAGTAGTTCCTACGTGATATTCTTAGTTAATTTGTTTCTAAAAATAATGTAAGTGTTTTTATCATTATTCTTTCCAAATTTGATATATTATTTGTATAATCTGTTTCTTTTATTTATTAATAATTATCCATGGTTTATTTTGTTTACAGATATTGACTTTCTTTCGATATAATCTAATGTGTTTATCATACAAGTTCTTAAATATATTATAAAATGTGTCATAAGCTCCGTCAATATCGTTGTTGATAGCATAAACTTCTGACCAATCAGTATTTAGGAATTCAATACCTAGAGAGGAAATAGTATTATCATTAATCAATCTTCTAAAAATATAAGTCGGATTATTTGTTGCAGATGGTTTAGTATTATATGAAATAAAAAATATAGGTAGATAATCAGTAATATCGCAAAAAAATATTCCAGACATGAAGTTATCGTGAAAATTACTAGAATAGATGTGATCAATTAATGTGGCCGATGTTTTTGTTAAGTGAGTGGGCCGGTCAATAATAGGAAAAAGGTTAGCTGAATATACACAACTTAAAAAATCAGATGTTAATGAATGGTGATTGTGTTTAAGTAAGTCAATATTAAAATCTCCACAGAAATAAAGACACTTTTTTTCGTTATGTGCTCATGGAAGGATTATATTGGACTTTCTGGTGGTCGGTAAATGGTTGAAAAAATTATATTTTTGGGTTTGGCTTCAATTTCCATAATAATAATAATAATAATAATAATAATAATAATAATAATAATAATAATAATAATAATAATAATATGAATTTATATAGCGCATTTTCAGAATACAGTACTGTTCAATACGCTTTACATAAAAATTGATAAAATACAATCATAAAGATTGATTAAACCATAAAGAGTGATTCGGAGACGTTATGAATTAGGGCACTTAAATTATTCCTCATAGTATAATTGATACCGTCTCAAATATAAAGACAGACTCCTCCACCTTTTTTTGTCAACTCTGTCACAATGAATTAAATTATAACCAGGAATATTATAGAAGGTATGTATCGTATTTGCGGTGAACCAAGTTTCAGTAAAACATAATATAGTAAATTTGTGATTAATTGTTTCCAGGAATCAAAATTTTCTCGGGGGAGAATAACCCACCCCACCCCCTTTCCTTTTAGAATATATCGATTCATGTGAAAAGAATACGATGCAATTACTCATTTTTTGTTATGTTATATACACATAAGGCCTATTTACTGTAATAAAGAATGAGAAAAGATTACCTGACCGTTTTCAAGAGGGGAAAACCTTGAATTTTAGAAGAACTTAAAGTCATTAAAAGACACTTTAGAAGTCGGGAAAGCTCATTTCCCGCCATTTATAAATCAACATTTTCCCAGGGAGAACCCGAACCCCGCTTTCTCTTTGGGTTCATTGATTCATAGAATTGTTTTCAAGAGAAGAAACTTTGAATTTTAAAGAAGCTCATTTCCCACCACTAGGAATAAAAATTTTCCCGGGGAGAACCCCTGGACTCCTTTCTCTTTCATCTAGATGTGTATAAGAGACAGATATATATATATATAAGGACATCCGAAACCCAAGATTACGAATGGTTCTAGTGCAGAAAAGATAATCGTATAGAGAGCATGGCTCGTGACAAGAATTCTGTGAGTTTCAACAGCGGATGAAATTTAGTGGTGGTGGTGGTGTATAAGCTTGTTTGCAATCTGCAAATTAAGATTAGCAGGATCATTACAGGGCTTCTTGCAAACTCGCATGAAAACGTGCTAAAGGTGCAAATTGTCGGGATTTCAACAGCCATTGAGTGTATGAGCCTCTAACGTATTGATGCACAGTGTCATATAAAGAATCTACCATTTCACATACAAGTATACAATATACGATGCTACTATTTCACATCAAAATTAAATTAAAGTAGTGCAAATAGTTATTACGTGCATCTAACGTATGGACACAGCGTAAAGTAAAACATTAAGCTCATGCTCTTGCAGCGAAGGCAAATGCGAAAAAAATACCACACAATTCTGAGTCTGGGATGTTTGTTCCTTTTTGAGCAGAACATTCTATTAATGATAGTGATTTATTCCATTTCTGCTGTTTAATGTTAATTTCAAAATCATTTTTGTGTTTCTTTTTGTGTTTCTGATTATGTTCTTTGTTTTTCCAAAATGAATAAAATATTATAAAATAGATTATAAGAGTTCAATTTATTAAAGGCAGGCCTAATAGCTGTTTCAATTGTTCTTTCTTTTCACTCTCGGACTTAAATTTGAATTTAATGTTCTTTGAAATTGTCTAAATTATAGGGGAAGGTCTGGACCGACCTGAGCCCCTTTTTGAATCCGCTTATGGAAAAATAGCTTATGAAGCATAACTACATACTCAATACTCAATTCTCAATACTCAATAGATTTGTCATATATAGGCCTACATGTACAATACACATAAGCCTACAATGAAATTCGGTCTGGTTCCCTAACAAAAACAAACATAAAATGCGAAAATTCAAACTACTCTAATGACTTGTTCAACGCCCTAATGGCGGAGGAATAGAAACTAGGTAGAGATTTACCCCTCCCGGTCACTAGTGATTGATATCGGCGACCACTCCGCATCACAGTGAACAAATGGTTGGCCGGGTGTGGAAGAAGAGTACCTTGTTACTATCCACTGAATACCTCGAGGCCTAAGATTATTTTTCAATCAGTGACACGGTCCAGATATTGCGCACAAACAAAGTAATGTACAACACGGATGGGGATTATTAATCAACCAATTTTGATTGTTTGTAATCTTTTCCCGAAGGTTGATGAGGTAATGTTGTTTGTGCCGTACAAAAGCATACTTAAGTACGATTATAATTTATTGTATGAGTTTGCAATAGGCCAACAATGTAGATAGGTCTAACATTTGTGGGAGGAAATACTAAAGGTCATGTGATGTCCTACAAATGCTAAACATTATTCATAAAGCTCTATCCAGATTATCACACTTTCTTTGCCCAAAAACAAAAAAAAACTGTTGTATACCAATACATGGGCATGATGTGACGTCATCATGACCAATGTATGCCACATGCTTTGTCTAAATCCTCCATTTGTCCAAATAAAATTTAGATGGGCTTTAGATGGTAATGTTTTTTGGTTTTTTTTTTAAATGGGTAAAACCTACATTGTCTCATTGGGATTCGAATCAACGACTATCCATGTGCGAAAAAGGAGTACACACATGCCCTACAAACCCGCAGTTTATTTAGTTTCCGTGTTTGTTGACCTAGAAAAAATAGCCAAGTTGCGAGAGTTTCGGGGACCGTCCATTCGGTGAGAAGGTATTATATAAGCCATTAATAATAATAATAATAATAATAATAATAATAATAATAATAATAATAATAATAATAATAATAACAATAATAATAATAATAATAATAATAGTAACAACAACAATAATAATAATAATAATAATAATAATAATAATAATAATAATAATAATAATACCAATAATAAATATTTAATTATTACACTGTACTGTTTGTATCATTATTGGGGGAAGGGGGTGCCATCAGAAATGTTATATCTAGGCCCCCTGCTCCCTAACCGCCTGTACTCCCAGCCAACTATAGGCCTATATTATTTCTACTTATACTATATTACTGATATCAAAAAATGGCGTAAGCAAATTCAATGACGCACGTCCACTTGAATCAACAATGGAATCATTGTACGCTAACCAGTCAACTGTAAGCTGTCACGGTTCAGTTTTTTCATTAAGGAAATGAGTTCGCTTATTGATGATTTCAGGTAGATCAAGTTTGCATCACGACTACATGAAAATGACTCCCAAAACGCTATTCATCAGAAAAATAGGAATTCTTCTAGCTTTTTCAGGTAAGTACAGTATGACAATTTTAGGCCTATTGTATTGTGGTATGAACGTATTACGAAATGAAATGAATAAGTGTCGTCATGTACTATTCAGTTCAGAGCCTGGAACTGAGAGACTGTATGGGGAATTGTCATTCCCTGATGATTTTCAGAAGCGTCTTGGTAATAGGCCTATGTTCGATATTGGTTCTTGATAGCTTACTTTTGGTTAGTCCGAGATTCTGTCATCAATTGAACGTATATCTTGTAACAATAGTTTTATTATATAGGCTACGGAAATATTCAATACTTCCTTGTATAGGCCGAAATTTTTCAGAGGAAAATGAAATAGGCGCTTGTAATATAACACTGGCGATATTAATAATTATGAGAATGAAAGCGCGCTATGACGTTACAGTTGCACGACAATCTCGAGGTCTAACATAACAACAAAAATCACAGTATCGATACCGTATAACGCTCATAAATATTAACAGAATATTATACTTTACTTCATATATGTTGCAATATACGTATTGATAAAAAAAAATCCCATACCAACACTTGTTATTGATGTGAGTATATTATTTATAACCTTTAGTATCTAATATGATATGCATGCTGATTCTGAACAATACAAACACAAACCATAATAACCTCCTAGCATATAAAAGAATATAGGCTATAATCATAGGGAAAAAATAGAACGTATTATATGGCCCAGTGTACATATGACGTACACATACATTAAATGACTAGGAAACCAGAAGAGGCATTTTAAAACGTCATAATAATACTTTTAAAATCCTAGACTATCGAGATTATCAAGCGCTATATAGGCCTAAAAACAAACATTTATTATTACCGTTATCATCAGTCATCATCATCAATATTATTCATGTGCTTGATTAATTCTCTGGTGAAGTATCGCTGACAGCACTCGAAATTTTAGAAGTATGATTTTATTTTATTTTATTTTTTTTGGTTTAGAATGCAAAATTGTACAAAAAAATATTTTCGTTATCAGATAAATACCATCACCGTGATTAAAATTGGTATTATCATTCGAATATTAAGTAGATTTATAAGCCTGTTTGCCCCTAATTTTGTAACTTTTTTATATTTAAGCAAAAATAAATACTGTAACATAGTATTTTTATTTTGTATATATAATTGATAACGCTGCTAATAGGTAAACAGGCTTACACTATAATATATCTAAGTAATTATGATAATTTAGCGTTCACTATCATAAGTACATAACGGGCTTATTTACTTTAAAACCATTAATTTCCAGGTGTCATTGGTCAAGAAGCGGTTTCATATTTTGGAAAGAAGATTGGAGACTTCGGACAGCAATCAACCCCATCGTATTCCATACAAGGAAGTGTGTATGTTGTAGACCATAATACACTATGGTTTAGAGGCTTTAGTTACAACGGCAATGCTACAGGTAATAAACGTAGATTTACTTTGGGCATCCGGAACTGAAACAGAGCGCTAAGCTAGGCATAAAAAGGAAGTCAAAAGAAAGGAGGCTTATTTCCATTTTGGTTCCGGACGATACTTAATATTTAACTTCAATAGAGATCAATGGGAAAGTTGACCGGGTAATGAGTTTTACTGGAGCATGTCAATGTGTACTATTATAAATAAATTGTACTAATTTACACAAGTAGGCCCCCACTCTATGAAAATACACTGCCTACAAAAAAGAACGGTTTAGACAGACCTTGACAAAAATATATATGTATATATATATATGTCAAATATATTTTTAATTAGATGTAAGACACAAAAATAAGAGTAGTGTGCTCTCAGATTGTGAAGTGTCATTGAAATTGTATTCTTAGTCTTAAAAAGTCATGACTTCCTTTTACATATTTAGATGCGTTTTTCTGGATTGGATCATCGAATTCTCCCGATGATTCGGGCTCTTTAATGACTGACGAAACTGGAAGGTATTTAAAGAATTCATTATCTTTATTAAAGGATTATCATTTGTTTATTAATTATTATAACTGTTGTATTACTATAATTACTGCTATTACGGTTATAAATACTATTATTATAACTAACATAATCATCATTAATTATTACTTTAATTATTATTAAACTCATATATGATTAATGTTTATTGTGTTTTTTGGGGTTTTTTTTTGTTTCTTAGCGTTGATCCGCTGCAAGAATACACCAATCAAAACTTTATTATATATTTACCACTTGGCGGTAATATTGCAGACTACAGTTGGATATCTGTGTGGAGTAAAAATCTTTCGGTAAATTAACTCCAGATCTCTGACCCGCCATAAAAAAGAAATAATAATAATAATAACGACAATGATAATGATGATATAACAATATAATAATAGGCCTAATATAATACTAATAATAATAGGCCTAATAATAAAAATAATAATAATAATAATTATTATTATTATTATAAAAATAGCCTAATAATAGTAAGTTTGCGTATTTAAAACGATTGTTGTACTTAATAGAATATTTTTTTTATAGGCATGCAAATAATAATAATAATTATTATAAATAATAATAATAATTATTATAAATAATAATAATGATTATTATAAATAATAATAATAATATAATAGGCCTAATAATAATACGTCTAATATTAATATTAATAATAATAATAGGCTTACTAATAATAAAAATTATAGGCCTAATAATAACAGGCCTAATAATAATAGGCCTAATAATAATATGCCTAATAATAATAATAGACCTAAAAATTTTAATAATAGACCTAATAATAATAATAATAACGACAATGATAATGATGATATAACAATAATAATCATAATAATAATAATAGGCCTAATATAATAATAATAATAGGTTAATAATAATAATAATAATAATAATAATAATAATAATAATAATTATAATAATAATAATAAGTTTGCGTATTTAAAACGATTGTTGTACTAAATAGAATATTTCTTTATAGGTCTAATGATTATATATACATGGTTTAATTATGTTTATATTTCCATCAGTTTCTAATTTTGTATTTCAGAGGAGCTTGGCCCATCTCTCTATTCCCACATCTTTTAACCCGCCGACAACACGCGACCTGGGACCACTTGGCCTGAGCCCACTAGTTCATAGAACAGAAGCGGATCGCGTTGAGATTCTTGACACACAGACTGTTAAATTTTACAATCTCAAATATGATGGAAGAGGCCCAGGTAAGATACATTTAAGATAACATTTATAGTAACCATCCTTTCGCTCTCTATAATAAGCCATGTCGGCATTTTTAAATTACGCATCACTGTGTTGTCAAATCATCATCAATATTTTTAATAATTATACTAATTATTGCAAAAATATTTTAGCTGCATATTTCTGGGTCGGTTCTGGAAGTCCATCTCGTTCAGGTGAACGCCTACCCGATGAAACTGGAAGGTAAGAACTGTAGGTCTACAAATCATATTCTGTAGACAGTGCTGATGATAATATTAATCATGTTCAGTGGCGTACGCTCTCGGGAGAGGGGCGAGGCCCCAGGCCTCTATCCCAAAGGGTTTTCGGAGGGGAACTGGAGTCCCCACGAGCTCCTGCTCCTTCTACTAACAGCCAGTTCTCTACTACAGAGCCATGTCATTCGGACCTTAAAGAGACATAATACTCACGAATTTTTAACGGTACTGACATTGGCTATAATGCAGTCTTTTCAGCCTTAATGTTAAAAGGTAGGAGGGGGATTCACTCAAATACCTTCCCTTCTGCCACTTTTGTGACATTAAATGGCCCTCAACACTGTATTTCCCTGGGTCCTTAGTTAGCAATTACACCATTGACCATGTTTACATCATTACAATACGAAGTTAGTCCCTAAAACCGAAAGGTCCGTTGATTAATCTCAGATAACATAGTATGATACTGATGATGACATAATTAATGTAGAAATATTGAATCCAGACACGATGGCGTGCATTTCGATACTTGGAGTATGTAATACTATCTTAAGTTGTCCCTCCACACCAAAGACAGCATGTTTAGAAGTAAACTTTAATAACATAAGTAAAATACAATACGGTTAATTTATATTCGCTTTTTTGTTGTCTTTATGTTCACAGGATAAAGGTGCTGAGCTCTTACAGTGGCGAGGACGTCACTGTGAGATTTGACGGCGTTCGGACTGTGTTCGATTACGATTACATCGGCCTTTGGTGTGAAATTGCTCGTCAAAATTTCGGACACGTTAGCATTCCCAACCGTGGAGCCTTAAACATTCCACCTTCTCTTGACACATACGAGGTACTGTAAATTATTTTCTATATTCTCGTACCAAGGGCGTCGATCCGTGGTTAAAGATTGGGGGGGGGGAAACGAAATGAAAAACAGAGCCCTGGGCCGTAGGCCTAATCCTTGGTTTGGGACCAGGGGGCGAAGCAATGCAATTAACATTTCCATACGAAATTTTCAAAATATCCAGTGGCGGATCCAGTAATTTGAAACAGAGCTGAGCCCAGAGAGGGACTTTTGCAGATGGAGAGTTTAGACCACCTCAGCCCTACCATGGTTGGGGCTGAGGTAAGAAAATTTATGATTATAGCACCTCTAGTTGGCCGGAAATGGCACTCTCAGACTTAATTTTAATATAATTTTCATTTTTCTCCATTTTTAAAATTCGAAAAAAAAACAACTTAGGGATGGTGGGCCGGTTGGGCCCCTTGAATCTGCCACTGAAATACTCCTCATAAAAGTTTGTAAAATTATTCTTTTAGTCATAATTATGCCCGCTTATATATTTCGTGCAAAAACATTCATAAAAATAATGATTTATTATATCTACTGATTAGCTTGTGACGTATTTAAAATTCGAACCATGAAAAACAAATAACAAACTTAAAACAGTAATAAATTTAGTCTTTTTGCATGTAGGCCTACAATACTTTTAAAATCAATTAAGAGGTTTTTGCTTATCTCCTCATTCTGAATTTCACTTTTGTGTAAGCAATATTGCGACTACACTATTGTGAGTGGAAATAATACCGTCTAATTTACGATCAAACAGGACTAGGGAGATAGCGAGAACACAAAACATTAGTTAGCATTTTGATTTCACAAACATAAAGGTGATTTACTTAATTTATCATTATCAGTTGCGGCTCCAGGAGGAAAGCAAAATAGAGGGGGGGGGGAACAGGGAGGGACTTATGATTATGACACCTAGATTGCCGGAAATGGCACTCTCAGACCTAAATTATAATTGTAATTTTCCATTTTTTCCATTTTTAAAAAATAATTTTGAAAAATTTAGGGTCGGATCGACCCCACTTAATTCCGCCATTGATTATTATGAAGTCATTGCGAGATTGCGTCAACGTAACACTGGAGTAAAATTTTGGTATCACTAAATCAAAATAGATGGACATGTCCGTGTCAAAGGCTGTAAAATTATTATTTAATAATTGCTATATAAAATTCAATTGACTAACTATATATTTTTGAAATTAGGAAAAACAGTAATCATGTATGTAGATAATATTAAACTCATACGTAAGGGTACCGGTATACAAAATGAATAAATCGTTTACAATAGAAATTGTGCACTTTTGAGTTTGTAAAAATATTGGCCTAATAAGCAACACGATTCCAATTCCAATGTTCAGTACATTGTTTTCACAATAAATTTAGCATCTGATAACCGCTGCACCCATAAAATCGATATAGTGGTTTCTGAGATGGTTACGAAATGTATACACAATTGCGTTTTTACTCGACTTTTCCGCAAAATTCATGAGTCATGCGTGATTGTTATTCTTTACATTCGCTTTTAAAAGTGGGGTTTTAATTATAGAAGATTGGTGAAAAGTGGGGTGGGGTAACAATCGATATGATGTTCCCCACCCCCTACTTTGAAAAGTAGGGGACGTGTCCCCCTGTCCCCCACCGATCGACGCCCATGTTCGTACCGATAATACTAAAGGCGTAAAATAGCACATAGCACATAGGCCTACTTACACAATATAAACATAATATATCCATAATATGTGCGTTCGTGCATCAGTCAATCATTGTCAGTGCGTCGAAAATGTTACGATTAAATATTTAATTTTTAATATCGCGACTAATGATTTGGAATGGAATGGAACCAATGTCTGTGAGACCAAAGATTTTCTATAGGCCTATGATTAAAAAACTCCACTTTCTCAAAACCTTTAAGAAATTTATGACTATAGTGATGTTGATAACTAAAGTCAAAGTTTAGAGCTTTGCTCCGTCTTGTACTTTGCTGATATTTATGATAACGATAATGATAATGTTAATAATGGCAATGATAATGATAATGATGATGGTAATAATTACTTCAGCTAGGCCTAGTTATGATGACTGTGGAAGAAATTTTATACAAAAACAATATTCGCTACACATAAAATTTAGGGTGGTGGTGATGATGATGATGATGATGATGATGATGATGATGATGATGATGATGATGATGATGATGATGATGATTATGGCCAACATGGTTATGATGATGACTATAAAGATGATGTTGATATACGAAAATAATCTTTGTAAAACTTTGGTGTAGTACAATGTTACCGATTCTGTAACGTATCTTTGTGACGTATTATCAAGTGATATGAAATCTTCCAATCATGTTCAAGACAGAGTCAGAAAATGTCAAAGGGCCTTTTATTCCCTTCAAAGTATTGGAATCTGTAGAAACGGTTCATCTTCATCAATGATATAATTATTTCTAAACAGATTCCTGATAATTACGACAACTGCGAGGAGCTACACGACCGGCTTCAAGTAAGCTGGAGTCTTACAGAGGACACCATCAATATACAGCTCCGTGGCGTAGTGAACATCAATGATTATATGGCATTTGGGATTAGCGGCTCGGAGAGTAGAGCTCAGATGGTTAATTCTGACGTAATAGTGGCGTGGTTTGATGGGAATGTCGGTCGAGCTCAGGACTACTTTTTGATCTCCCAAGCCCAAGTAAGACAACTTATCTATTCCATTGAGTTAGCTTCTAATTAGACAAGCAGTGGCGTAATGATGGGTTTGGGGGCCCTCTGGCTTTCTGAGACTGGGGCCCTTTCAGTGGTGGCACCAGCGGAGGGGGGGGGGGGTTGCAGTCGGACAGGCCTGTATCCCCTCTTGTCGGACGCCACGACGATGTCGTCGGATCAAAACTATAAAAAAAATACTGTTTGCCTGTCCAAATAACGTTATTTTAACTGCCAATCCCAATTGTAGTGGTCAAAAAGCATAATTTGGACCATACTAATCTCTAAAAACTCTCCCGTGAACCCTACAATATCAGGGATTTTTTAAATCCGGGACCAGGACCGAAGCTAGAGTCGGCCCCTTGTTTCGGATCCCCCATCGGACATGTCGCACCCCTTATCGGCAAATTTCTGGAGCCATAGTTGCTGGGCCCTTTTGGGGTCTTATTCGCTATTCAATCGTGGGATGTTAGTTATGCCCATTTTTCAATCCTGTCTGTCACTGTTGTTCTAAAAGTTTCTAACGACAAAATGAAATAAAATCTGTGGCGGCTGGAATTTGAAATAGATGGGAGACCAGGGAGAAATTTCAGAGATCGAGGTCTATAACACCTTAGCGCCACCATGTCTGGGGCTAAGGTAAGACAATTTATAATTGTGGCTGAACCATGGTTCCTCGATTGCCCCTCCGGCCACACCGGCAAAAACACCTGATCCAACAATGATTTACGTTTTGATATAATTTATGCCTGGATATTTTCTATTTCCCAACATGAATAGTGTTCAGGTGGCAGTGGAGCTTGTCCTGATGTCAAAGTCAATGGGGTTAACAATGTTGAAGGCATAAGTGCCTCTGTGTTGAATGGAGTAACGGCAATCGAATATACCAGAATGCTGGACACGGGTAAGGACGAACCAAAAAATTAACTATGATCATTCAGACAATTAATTGATTATCTGCGCGTTCAACCCAGATTATTGAATTCATAGGTTTACTACTTATGCATGCAAATCGCGGCAATACATATTTGATCATTCAGTACAACATATATTATTGTATTATTTAAAATTGGTAGAGAATTTGCTATTCGTAAGGGTACAAGGCAAGGTGGCTTATCCTCCCCTTTCATTTTCAACCTGTTCTATAGGGACATGGTTTCTAATTTAAGTACAATCTCTTGCGGTATTGTTATTGCAAATTCGTCATTTAATGTATTTTGCCAAGCGGATGATCTGCTTCTTGTCAGCTTAACTAAAACAGATTTACAAAAGTTGATTAATTATGCTAATCACTACATCACATCCCGTGGCCTTAAATTCAATCCAAATAACACAACTTGTACTACAATATTTTTGGAAAGAATACATTAACCCCACATCCTTGTTGTTCAATCAACGATTGTAATCTTAAGGTTACCGATTCTGTAACGTATCTTGGTGTCGTATTATCAAGTGATATGAAATCTTCCAATCATTTTCAAGACAGAGTTAGAAAATGTCAAAGGGCCTTTTATTCCCTTCAAAGTATTGGAATGTGTAGAAACGGTTCATCTTAGATTGTTAAGAGTCATATTTGGAAATCCATAATGCTACCAATACTAACTTATGGATGTGAATTTGTTAACACAAATGATAGTGCTATTAAAAACATAGAAACTACACAAAGTAAATTTATTAAAACTGCGATTGGTCTCCCGAAGTTCTGTAGGAACACCCCTCTTTTGCATGCTCTAAGTATAAGTAAAGTTCAGTGTCAAATCAGAACAAATCAACTTAATCTTGTTAACCAGATTTTTTGCAATAAATTTAAATCGAGAAAATTATATGGTCACCTTTTAAATGTTGAGGCCAATGGCTGCAAAAACATTAAGAACACTCTGGTCGATAAGATTAAGTGCAGTACTGGTGATGTGAATGATTTTTACTTATCATTGTAGGCCTATGTCACAAATAATCACTATCGCAAAGATCTGAATAACAGATTAAAGCGCATCGACTGTAATGATAACGGTATCTGTGACAGTATAAAAACCATTAGGGAGTTTGACCCCTCTCTTAACAACGAAACCATTCATTATGGTAGAGGACCTGACGAAGATTTGTATGCACTTCATTTAGGAGAGAATTTCTCAACTGTTATAGACTAATATGAACCCTAGGAATAACATGGGATGTGTGCCAAAATCTCTTTCCGGGACGAACAGCCCGAAAATGACCACGCCCCTTTTTTATAGGGTAGGGGTATTTTGAAATTGAGCTAGACGGTATAAGAAAATAGCAAATGAAGGGGTTTTTGTTCTAAATGAGCACACATGACAAGAGGATTAAATTCCTAAAATTACGTCACGGTCACATTTTCCGTTAATATGCAAATTAGCCTGAATATGCAAATTAGGAGTGAAAAAATAGGGTTCCTATGTGCTGAGAGCCGCTGGTCGTAGCGAGTTGCTTTCTTTTTAAAATTGTTTGGACCATGCATATTTCTATTTGTTCTAATGTGAGATTTGCTTAAAAAATGACCGGAAATGCCATATTTGACCTTTGACCCTATTTACAAGTTTTCCCTATTCCCATGTCTACTGACTGTAAAAACTTGGTTTTGGTCTCAAATTCATTTACTCAGTGAATGGGTTTTTACAACAATCACCGGGTGCGTACCATTGGTCCGAATGATCTTTGGTCCGAAGGGTCTTTGGTCCGAAGGTCCATTGGTCCGAAGGCCCGTTGGTCCGAATTTGTTACCTTTCTTCCAGGAATGCAGGTTATACGGCAGTAAAACAATTCCTTACAATTTATGGAGTAAATTAAGAAAGATCACTTTTTTAAAACAATATTCCAAAATATTTTCCCTAACAACATGTAAGGCCAAGTAAAAAAAAAAAAATACTAGTTTCTTGTTACCTCCCGCATCCATTTTCGCTGCCTCACCATTTAAAAAAATATATATATATGTACGAAAATCTGGCTAACTCATATCAGTAAAATTCCTCTCTCTATCGTGGATAGGGAGAGATTCCCAATGAGAATTTCAGTTGAACTATTACCAGTAGTATTATGGATTAAAACTCAATGTACTATGATACGATTCATGTCTAGTACATCTTTTGCTTTTAATGTGCAGTGGCGGCACTACAGGAGGACACAGGGATAGGGAAAAATTTCCATTAGAAAATTTGTCGCCCCCCACCCCCAGAAGAGTAAAAAAAAAAACACAATTCGTCGGGGAGAAAAAATATATATGTATTTTTTACATATTAGTAGACTATCTATTTAGAATCGATTGAACAAACCCTCTGAAACCCCTAAATTGTCACATTTTCCGGGGATCCGCCCCATGGACCACTTTCGAAACATTTTAATTGACACCCGACCACGCTCACTTTTTTCTCGTCGGGGAAAAAAAAAATCATACCTTGCCCTTCATTTCCGTCCCCGCCCCCGATGCTTTCGCCGCCACTTTTAATGTGTCTACTTAGTAAAAGTAAAAAAGTAGTTAACTCCCATCGGCCATAAGTAAATAAAGCTGTTAAGATTTTCCAAACACTAGATGGAAGTTACTTGAATTCCCCTAGTGTTATTAAAATCTTTTCTGTCTCCTGCTTCAACATTAGGAAGTTATACTTACGCTCCATTCGCTTGGAATCTTTTCAATATCTAATCATTTTTTGAAAATATACATAAAGTGAGCTGACAAGTCATGCTAGCAATAACTGTATATTGTTAGCCAATATAGACTACGTGGTGGTCCCGAACATGTGTTTTCTTCAAATATATTTTGTCTGTATTTGAATTAATTACTTCGGACCAATGGACCTTCAGACCAAAGGTCCTTCGGAACAAAGGACCTTCGGACAAATGCACTGACCCCCAATCGCCACCCTTGCATTTACAGTACTTGCAACACTTTATTCTAGCTCTTCCACAGGGACACGAATTCTTGCGAGCACATTTCTGGATTTCTGGGATCTGGCAGGCCATCAGGTTTCGAGATCACAATATCAGGGACTAATAAACTGCCACTCCTTACAAAACCAAAATTCTCAGCATTGATAATTGATGTGGCATCTCTAAATGGGGCTTTAACCCACAGCTGCTGTTGGTAGTAGCTTCTTGTTTTCTTGCATTAGTTAAGGTACAAGCTGTTCTCCCAAAGTCCATCTTGAGGGTATTGCTATCAAATGCAGCAAGGCGCAGGTCGTCAAATGTCTCATGTCTCAAGGTCTGTTGATAGTTTAAAACACTTGACCAAAAAGGTTTCTGCCATCTGTACTGCATCTTGAGGATATTTCCCGCACGATTAAAATCGTAACGGTTTTGAGTTTGGTTTACAGAATTTCGTGTTTCGTACAGGTCATTCCATTCATAGAAAAAGCCTTTATATTGGAGAAAGCGTATCTGTCGTTAGCCATAGTAGCCTAGGTCAATACTAATTCCGGCTATATAAAATTGATTATAAGGTTGAAAAATATTATTATTGTAATAGTTATGATACTATACTAAATTTTTATTTATTATATATATTATTATATTATATATATTATTATATATATTATTTATATTTAATGTATTGTTTAAGTATGAATTACTATTTCCATGTTAAATTAATCTTATCTATTATAATTGTATATTTAATTAATATAGTAATAGGCATAGCCGAGGACAAGCCTAGGCCTCCTAAACCTAGTGACTATATGTGTAGTGTATAAAATTATGAATTAAAAGTAATGAATAAATAAAGCAAGAAGGAAGAATAGAAAAGAGATTTGGAGCGGGTGAAATATTTTCCGAAAATATATAATAGAGTCAATATGCATTATTGCATTACGTTTTTGGAAAAAGTTTTGGGCACTAATCGCCAGATGTATTGGTGCCACAGCCTACAATTTTCATAATTCGAAATCGAATTTACATAAACCTCAAATCTCTTTCCTATTCTTCCTTTATTCTTTCACAATTTTGCGTCTTTATTCATATTTTTTATAATTTTATACACTCACATATATAGTCACTTGTTCAGGCCTAGCCTCGGCTAGACCTCGGCTATGCCTATTACTATATTATTGAAATATACAATTTTAATAGATAAGATTAATTTAACATGGACATAGAAATTCATACTTAAACCCATGCTTAAACAATCCATTATATTTAAATGTAAATATAATAACGTTAACGAATAAATAACAATAATTAGAACGTGTACATAGTATCACTAGTACAATAATAAGATTAATATTTTTCAATCTTATAATCAATTTTATATAGCCGGAGTTAGTATTGACCTAGGATACTATGGCTAACGACAGGTACGCTTTCTCCAATATAAAGGCTTTTTCTATGAATGGAATGACCTGTACGAAACACGAACTCCCGTACCGTTACGATTTTAATCGTGCGGGAAATATCCTCAAGATTAAAATAGGATGCTTGAAAATACAATTTCTATATAATTAATAAACTAGGCCTACTCACATTCTGCTGCCTATTAGAGGATGTAATAAGTTGGTTTTTTTTAAATATATTTTTCATTACTAATCCTAAAGATAGCATTTGTTGATAGTGTAATTAAAAATAAAATATTGCACATCATTTTCTGATAATCTGTCAAGATTGATATAAAATTTTACCTTCTAGACAATTTATACCAAAATCAACACTCTCCAACTGTTGTTATGGTATTGCAGCTACAAATTGTCGTGCGTGGTCAAAGGCCAGGAACGTAGTTTGTGCAATTTCTGAGTGAAATACAGTGAATTGGAACTTCAGTCAGTAGTCGTGGGAATATGGAAAATTTGCAAATAGGGTCAAAGGTCAAATATGGCATTTCCGGTCATTTTTTAAGCAAATGTCACATTAAAGCAAATAGAAATACGCATGGTCTGAACAATTTTAAAAAGACAGGAACTCGCTACGACCAGCGGTTCTCAGCACATGGGAACCCTATTTTTTCAATCCTAATTTGCATATTCAAGCTAATTTGCATATGAACGGAAAATGTGACTGAGATGTAATTTTTGGAATTTAATCCCCTTGTCATGTGTGCTCATTTAGAACAAAACTCCCTTCATTTGCTATTTTCTTATACCGTCTAGCTTAATTTCAAAATACCCCTACCCTATAAAAAGGGGGCGTGGTCATTTAATAAAGGGCGTGGTCATTTAATAAAGGGCGTGGTCATTTTCGGGCTGTTCGTCCCGGATAGAGATTTTGGCACACATCCCATGTTATTTCTAGTGTTCATATTAGTCTATAACAGTTGAGAAATTCTCTCCTAAATGAAGTGCATACAAATCTTAGTCAGGTCCTAGACTATTACCTAAAATTGTTACTCAGAAGCTTCTGAATGAGATGTTACGTTTTGCTGTTCTATTTTGTATATATACTTATGCTAGTTTAGTTTACCTTGTGCTGTGTTTTAATTATTTGTCTTTTTATACTAAGTCAATATTCTGTTTCCGATGTTTGAACGTGTTTTTATTTGTATGCTTCTCCTGTTTGGAGATATTTTTTGAATAAAATAAATAAAATAGAATAAATAAAATAATTATGACAAATCTGTTGGAGATGTTTTGTGTCTAACTCTATCAATTTCTTTGAAGGTGACGATATGGACACAGTAATTTCAGCAAGTGGTGTGACGCAAATAGTCTGGGCGATTGGCCAGATAAACGGAGATGGACTAGCCGTTAGACACATTGAACGAGGTAAGCCTACAAACCACTTTGGCTTTTCCTACGAGATTAACTAGGTTGGAAATTAACTAAGTTAGGCGAGTAGATTGGCCGAGCGGTTAAGTCAGGGGCACCGTAACCTTCAGCTATAATATCGGCGCTAGTTCAAACGGCTCACTCGTCAATAGTTCCGGTGGTGGAACAAGTCTTCTCGGACAAGGAGTGTACGCATTTGTCCCGTGTACACTTTAAAGAACCCAGAACATTCTTCGAGAAGAGTAGGGGGTTACCCCGGTGTACTGGTCCAATCAATCCCCTGTTGTTTAATGGATATGCCACCTAGGATAGTGATTAAGTTCGCTGATTGGCGTATCCCTGGCGGTCGTGCCTAAAGAAATGAAATGAAAATGAAATGAAAGAAATATGGGATTATTGATATAAACATGATACAGTGCCAAGATTGATGCAAGATACTCTTATTTCTGATATATTATTTTAATTCATTATTAGTTTTGTTTGAAGAGAACATCTCAGCTCAGTCGGCTAAACTGTTAGCCACTATGTGTGCGCTGAACCATGGCGATCTTGGACCTCTGTTCAATTCCCCCGATGCTCTCCTTGCTGTTTCAGTAAAATGGCCTTAGTGCAAACTTCAACACCGTAACGTCTTTCGGATGAGACGTTTAAGCCGTTTATCCCGTGCGCAATATGGCTCATGTACACGTGAAAGAATGCAGTCTCCCGGTGTATTATCCAACTCACCACCTGAACAACTCCACTGGATATAAACCTTAAGGACTTTCGTGGGCTAACTTTAGTATATTTCACACCGAAGAAATCGTATCCCAATCCAATTCACGCAAAATGGTTGCTTTAATCATGCTTTAATAGGTGGTGGAACGGTAATGTTCGGTCGTAACGCATTGAGGAACTGTGAATCGCTTGCCGATGGAATTGAAGAGGTAAACGGATGGAAAGAATTACAACTAATTGGTAACAGCGATACCACCGAATTCACGGCCGTCATTGGTCAGTCCGGAGGAGAGAGAGGATATACCAGTATCACCGGTAAGCGACATCCATTTCTAAAAATAAAATTTGCCACCTTCCACACGCTTCTATTCCACATTTTTAATGTTTTCCTATCCATTTTATCTACTATTTTTCATTTTGTGTAATTCATTATTTATGTTTCCCATCACTCTCGATGTTTACTCATCCTTTCTCCATTTTCTCACCCTTCTTAACGTCTGTAAAGGTTTTCCCATCACTTTTCCTTATGTTTTCCATTCCCTTTACTAATGTTATTTATAATCCCTTCATGGTATTCTTTACTTTAACTATACAATAACACTATCAATTTGTGTTTAAAATATTATACCTCTTTCGCAGATAATGTCGGTTGGGGAATATCTTGGTACATAAACGACATGCTAATCCCAAGACTCATATTAAAGCGGGGAACCAATTACACGTTTAAGGTTTTTGGCGGCAATGATGCGACTCAGTCTGCCTCCTATCATCCCTTCTATATTACAAACGACAAAGGTGGAGGATACGCAACATTGACAGAAATGGAGAAATTGGTAGAAAAACGAATTATTTATCTTTCAAATAATGAATTTTTTTTTGGGGGGGGGAGGGGGTAAAATTAGAAACAAACCTAACAAAAATTGATAAGCCAATTTGTAGTTTGATCTGCGCATGCCTGTATCAAGGTCAAGGTAAACAAACATACGGTACAACCATGGTACAACATAAGTTTATGTCGATTGACCCATATTGACCTTATATACGGGCACACGCCGTTCAGCCTACGAATTGGCTTACTAAAACATATATTTGGAATTTTCACCTCGATGTTATGGTATCTAAACTGACCAGTGGCGCACACTCCCACCTCCCCCACCCACTCCAAAAAAAAGTACTCGCTCAAGTAGTTAATCACGTTCAAGTAGTTAAAAATCACCTCAAATCACCTTATTTTGCGAGCTAGCTAGCTCCCACTCACTTAATCATAAACCCCGCCCCTCTTCACTTACGCCCTCCCCTTCGCCCCCTCCCCATTTCAAGACTCCAGATAAATATTGTTGTTAGGTTCTTTAAAAATCCCAGAGCATATACATACCTGAACGTGTGTTTTTGTAATGGGAAGTAGCCTACATGCTCGTAATCATTAATTAGGACTCACGTTTGCTAGTGCGTGGCGTCAGCTTCAATCTACTAGTCAATCATAAACGATCCGTAATTATTCGCCTTCCTTTGTAAATTAGAGGTAAATATTTCAGTTTTGCACGTTCTTCGTTCTCAATAATTGCGTAATGAGCGTAAAACAGTAGGGCGAGAGCCGTCTGAAACATTTTTATGTCGGCCGGCTGACTTCCATATATCCAAAATATGTTTCCTTGTGGGAAAATTAGCTTGATCATCGAATTTTTCTGTTCACAAAATTGCCTGAATGAATAGATGCTGTTAAAATTCAATTGTTTATTTCTTGTAGAAACAAGTTATATACGCCGGACCTGTAAGTAAGTAGCAATCACTTATTTTACTTTAAGTATTGCATTGGCTTTAACTCAATTGCTTCAACATGCATACTCCTGCTGCAGTATACACCTTATTGTTTGTCACAAAAATGCTTGTTCTAATGACGTAATCATTTCACGTTCCTTAGACGGATCTCTCTGTGAATTGAACGACAAGAATGGAGACCAAAGCATGACTTCAACATCGGCCGAAGGATATAGAAAGACGCTGGCAGAGCAATGTCTTTCACCAAAGGAACCGGCAACACTCACCTGGACACCTGACGACAACACACCGGACACTGTATACTATCAGGTAAAGCGGATTTTCCATAAAATCACCTCACTGTTGCTATGTGGCGTTCCTATTCAAATCGCTGGACTCAATACTGATGACGTAATAAAGCCACTCTCCTATTTTTGTTTTCCCGACACATGAACCGAGTTTAGAACAATTCCTGAATGCATAAACTTTAAGAAAAACTAATACAAAAAGATCATAAACATTATGAATATATAGATATTGATGGCGCACTGCACATGATACTGCCATTCCCTAAGGCTTATTTATCATGCGTTTGACGGCGAGTAAAGTTTAAAGTAAATAATTCACTTTATATTATCGATGCATAGACTTACTCTGTCCGAATCTGAAGTTATTAAACTTGATTGTAATATTATTATTTGAGTGACACCCCAGAAAGGTTTATTACCATAGCAAAGGCATATCATAACACCTAGATTTGTCATCAGCTGTAAACGCATACCGGTACATAAATATGAATACGTAATAAAATTAGAGGACAAAACTTAAACTATATTTTCTTGTTATTTAATTCCAGTGTTACACACACCGTTTTCTCGGTTGGAAGATTGATGTTGTTGACGTACTTCCGTCATCTGCTGTTACATTTATGTCGTCGAACGGTCTCTCTAACGCGTTTTTGCTAAGCTCTTGCATAATAATCAGCCAACTTTTAAACATATAATTAATTTTAAGATGTATATTTATTCAGATTATTTTTTTTATATCACAAAAGAAAATGTTGATGTTAACAAATAACAAAAAAAAAAAAAAAACAAACATTCCACAAGACTACAATAATAACAATTTATATGTGCTCTAGAAATGAAAGCGTTTTAATCCGCTCAAATATGAACTTTTGTATGTGTATAGTTTAAGTGCACTTTTTGTAAATAAAAGTTTGAGGAAATCTGTTTAATTTTTTCTCAAAATGTTTTTGTGATAAACCTATTTTATTAGGTGTATATTTTATATGGTGTATATTAACTCCACTCAGGGCAATTTTCAACAGTGGTGTTAAAGTGTCAAACTGCAGTTATAATAAAACATAAACATAACATTAA